AGAGAAAGAGTGGAATGGAAGTGGTGTCAAAAAGCGCAGAAAGTCCACAATCTTTAGTGAGTACAGGTAAATGCAGGTTTCCATCTGCATCACACTACAATATACTTTAGTAAACCATCACAGTACAAACAATATACGGTACCAGGCATCAAATCTTGTTTCTACCCCAATGGAGATGACAATCAGAAAGCTCAGATCTGTCAGCAAAAGGCATGAATAATCATCTTTTGAGAAACACTTGCATTAGAATGTTTCTTTTTCCAGAAATAGCATCATATTCCAATTGTCCTCCTAGAAAGTGGCTCATTCTCAGAGTCAGCTTAATTCCTGGGCATTTTTACTTAGAAAGAGACCCAGTGTATTCAGTGGGCTCATCTCACATATAAGTAAGTACAGGATTGCAATCTTGTGGTCCGTAAAGGAGAGATGCAGTCATTGCATCCTGTAAAGCTCACCCATTTTTATCCAGGTAAAGCAAGTGGAATTTTGAAGCTAGAAGCCACTAGAAAATTTTTCCTCTAAATATTCTCAACTAAAGCACCCTGAGACCAATATCCAGCACCTGCTGTTTCAGTATCTGCCACCCTATTTGATAACTGAGGCAGCAGCTGAATGTCCACTTTTAATATTATACAAGATCTAGCCTTGCTTACAGACTCAGTCAAAGGGCAGTTTACAATATTAATAAAGAAAGTTTAAAAACCTACCCAAATATGCTGAGGCAACCCCATGATTATACGTAATTACTTGTTTTCAAGTAGGAATGTCTTGCAACTGCTCATCACAGTCGGCCCTCCATTTTCACAGGGGATCCATTCTGGAAATAACCCCCACCCCACTCACCCACCCCCGCGAAAATGGAAACTCGCTGATATTCAAGCCCCATTGACTTGAATGGTGGCATGTGCCCATGAGTGAGTGCGGGCTAGCACCACAGGCACACGCCCCATTATGTCCCCCTCCGTTTCCTACCCCACAGATAGGTATGAGGCACAGATTTGGAGTTCATGGAAATGGAGGGGCAACTGTACATTAAGAGAGGGCTTCAGCAGACCAATATGAAAGTTTGCAAAAGTTAATATATATATATATATTTATTTAAAGTTGCTTCAAATTTCTCAACACCTCACTATCTGTAGTTATCTATTTATACAATACCCTTCATATTAAATTTCAGGGGAGCATAAAAATTAAACAATAATGGCCTCCACTGTACTACAGATATAAGACAAGAACAAAGTGGTAGTGTGCTCTTCAAAAAGAGGCTAAACAGCTACTTGCTGGGGATGCTTTAGCTGAAGATTCTGAACAGCGGGTTGGGTTCAATGGTTCATGAGGCCCTTTCCAAAGCAAAGCAAAGCAAAGCAGCTTATTTATATACCGCTTCATATCACGCTATGGGATGTCTAAGCGGTTTACAACTGTGAGCTGATTGCCCCCCAACAGTTGGGTACTCATTTTAGCGACCTCGGAAGGATGCAGGCCTGAGTCGAGCCTCAGCCCTGGCTGGTATTGAACTCGCAACCTTGTGGTCTATGAGTGAGTGGCTGCAGTACAGGCATTTAACCACTGCGCCACCAGGGCTGATCACAGCTCTATAAGTCTATGAAATCATACAAAAATAAGAGCTAAAACACCCCAAACACTTAAAAACAGACTAAAATTAAAATACCATGGCAAATTAAAAACATGTTTTTGTCTGACTCCTGAAGTGCTACAACCCTTGCACCAGGCAATTTTCTTTTGGTAGTTTGCGCTCAATAGATGGCATGACACTATAAAAGCAAAAGAAAAAGTCCTCATTCACTGATAGGGGTTCAACAGATGGTCGTAAAGGATCACCACACAGATAGGGAACCAGGTACTGTATCAAGTATTTGGTTCCAAGCTGTCTTGTACTAGCATCTTGAATTACGGTAGGTTCAGAAACAAAGCAGGTAACCAGTGGAGCTCTTTCATAACTGATATATTATGAGCAAGACAAAATTCAAAATTCTGGCCATTGAAACCTGTACTACTTGGACCCTCTCAGTACTTGATTTGAAGAAGGCAAGGGTAACTGCTTCATCTAAGATATGATTGGATTATTGTTGTGATAAATTATATAAACTCTACCAGTTCTGCACTGCTTCAGGCACACTTACATACATAACCAAAACAAAAGTACTGAAAATTTACAGGGAACAATGTAAAGATGCTTAATCCTTAAAGCCAAATACAGAATATGAAACATTTACAAGAAGTTAAAATACTTGAATTTCACCCTCGAATTCACACCGATCACCTTTCATCTGACTCATTACACAAAAACAGTGTAATGATTCATGCACAGCCCACCCTATCACTAGACTGGGAGGTTCATCAGTGAATTAAGATGTAACCATGAAAGTCTATTATGGTATTTCACGCAAGTGCAAATGAGAGTCAATGCAAGTAAAAATGCAAGCTCTTAGACCCTCATCTTTACCACCCACTGCTTTTTCAACCCAACCAAAAATTGGATGCTTCTGAGAGATGCCCTCAGATGTCAACTTTAAAGAGTTTAATGGGGTGGGGGGACAGAACCAGAGACCTTTTACTGTTCAGATACAACATACTGATGGTAGTTAAGAGTACAGCGATCCTTCCACATTCGCTGGGGTTAGGGGTGAAGGACCATAATGAATGTGGAAAAACTACAAAAAAAACACATTATTCTTCTTACCTGAGAGAACACCACTCTAGGAATCTCCAGGTCTTCCAGTGCAACTCTATGGTCATCACAGAATCATGCTGGGGGATCTAGAAATGCCTAGATAAGTGTTTTCTCTCGGAACATCTATATTCTCCAGCATAATTCTATCGTCAACTTCTGTCAGGGTTGTGCTGGAGGACCTAGAAGTTCCTAGAGAGAGCATATTCAACAAAACTGCAAATAATCAAATCCACAAAAGTCAAAGCTGCAAATGTGGAGGGACAACTGTTCTCATACTGAATAATCTCAGAAACAAACAAGTTAATTATGTGAATGCAATGGTGGTGTAGTGATTTGAACATTGAACTACAACTCTGGTGATCAGGATTCAATTCCTGCTCGGCCATGGAAACCCACTGGGTGACCTTGGGTGAGTCGCATACTCTCAGCTCCAGAAAACCCCATGATAGGGTTGCCTTAGGTTCGCCATATGTCAGAAACAACTTGGAGGCACACAACAACAACAAAAACAACAACAACAACAACAAATTAACAC